AAGTGCTACTTTCATTAAATAAACCATATCAAGTTGTTTCATTTCTCCTATTTTATAATTTGATCTACTATCTTCCATTAAATAGTTCAATTATTTATTTTCTAGTTCATCTTATTCATTATTTTTGAAACTTTTCCTCATTATTATTGATTATCATGTTATTTTATTTGTTATACCTATCTCTTTATTGTATTCGAAGGTAGCATGTCAGAGACAACACCACATGTAACACTAATATGTCCAAAATATAAATCATCAGTTATTATCTGGTAATAACGTGCATTTAGTGAGATAACATACCACTCAATACTGGTTATTATTTATTAGTATTTATTATGAGTGATTGGTATGGAATATTAATTAATTATTTATTATGATGGTAGTATTATTATTTATCAACATACAAGTATATTTATTCATAATTGATTTGTGTTGAATACATGGTGTGTTATTAAGAAAATGGATTCTTTAATTGTGTTGAAGATAAAGGAGATAAATCATAATCATAATGTTATTGATATGTCAAACATAAAACAATAATATAAATAATGATGAAATTTAATATTCATTTAATTCAAAATAAAATTAAGATAACAAATTAAATGATGAAATATTTAAATTGATAATGATTGAAAAAAAACAATAAATGAATAGAAATAAAACATGAAGAATAAAGTGAAATAATCACTTCTCAACATGATGAAAATATAATCATAAATATTTCATAATTGATTTATTTCTTGTTTTATATTTTTTTACATAGTTATGAAAAAGATATAGAATAAAAAGAAGTAATAAAATTAAATATTATAATGAAATAGTTTAAATAATAATAATAAATTATAATGAAATTAATAATGAAATAGTTAAATATAATAGTAATAATATAATATTTAATAAAATTAAAATAATAATTTATTTTTATTTATATTAATAATTTATTTTCTCTTATTTATTATTATTATTATTATTATTATTTTATTTATTTTCTCTTATATTCGAGTTCTTTATTCTCTTGATTCTTTATTTTCTTTCTTTAATGTTATCGTTGATATATATATATATTTCATTTGTATTATCACTGTATTTATTATTTTATATTTATAATCATAAAAAAGAAATATATTTAATTAATACTGTCATCTTCATTATTATTTATATTCCGAATATCTATTCATTATTTCTTAATATTATCATATTTAATTATAATAATTCAATTATATTTAAATTAAATTGAATTATATCAATAATGATAATATAATTCATTATATAAATAATTTATATATTAATATGTAAATATATCATTACAATTACTTTTAAATATGATAAAAATACAAATAATAATCTAAATTAAATAATGATAATATTTGATTACATTAATTTAAATAAATAATTATCATTTAAATTAAAATAAAAATGAAATAGAAATATAATAAATAATAACAAATGAATAATAAATAATATACAAATGAACATAATCATTTTTATTTAATAAAATAACTAATTAATGATAATATTCATTCATAAAATAATTATTAACATTATTTATTCAATAATAAATGATAATTTAATACAATTTTAATTATTTAAAATATTTAAAACATAAATAAATATGAGATAATTAAAAACAACATAAATTATAATGAACTATTCATTATTAAATTAAAATCAATTTCAAGTATTTGAATAGTTATTAAATAAGAGAAAAGAATATAACAGGAAGAATAAAATGAATAATAAAAGAAATAAATAATTAGATAATGATATTCATAAATAATGATATTCATTAAATTAACAATAAAATTAAAATAAATAAAATATCAATTTGTTTATTATATCACTTTTTGTTTAATTTCATGTTTTGTTAATTAAAATATTATTATCTATATATTTCTTTTTTTCTTTTCTAATCATCATTCATTTCTTATTTTATTCTTTGTTATTATTATTTTATATTAGATGATATTTTATTATTTTATATTTGTTTATATTGTTTGTTTATATTTTATTATTATTATTTATTGTTGTTTATCTATATCATTTATTTATTATATGTGTATTGTATTTATCATTGTATATGAAATGATATATGATAATATAATAGATAA